AGAATAGGTCCACACCCCATCACCTAATAGTCAAATTTACAAGTCTTAGTGACAAAGAGAAGATCCTGAAAGCAGCCCGGGAAAAGAAGTCTGTAACATACAATGGTAAAAATATTAGATTGGCAGCAGACTTATCCACAGAGACCTGGCAGGCCAGAAAGAGCTGGCATGATATATTCAGAGTACTAAACGAGAAAAACATGCAGCCAAGAATACTATATCCAGCTAGGCTATCATTGAAAATAGAAGGAGAGATTAAAAGCTTCCAGGACAAACAAAAACTGAAAGAATTTGCAAACACCAAACCAGCTCTACAGGAAATATTGAAAGGGGTCCTCTAAGCAAAGAGAGACCCTAAAAGTAGTAGATCAGAAAGGAACAGAGACAATATACAATAACAGTCACCTTACAGGCAATACAATGGCACTAAATTCATATCTCTCAATACTTACCCTGAATGTTAATGGGCTAAATGCCCCAATCAAAAGACACAGGGTATCAGAATGGATAAAAAAACAAAACCCATCTATATGTTGCCTACAAGAAACTCATCTTAAACCCGAAGACACCTCCAGGTTTAAAGTGAGGGGGTGGAAAAGAATTTACCATGCTAATGGACATCAGAAGAAAGCAGGAGTGGCAATCCTTAGATCAGATCAATTAGATTTTAAGCCAAAGACTATAATAAGAGATGAGGAAGGACACTATATCATACTCAAAGGAACTGTCCAACAAGAAGATCTAACAATTTTAAATATCTATACCCCTAACGTGGGAGCAGCCAACTATATAAACCAATTAATAACAAAATCAAAGAAACACATCGACAATAATACAATAATCGTAGGGGACTTTAACACTCCCCTCACTGAAATGGACAGATCATCCAAGCAAAAGATCAACAAGGAAATAAAGGTCTTAAATGACACACTGGACCAGATGGACATCACAGATATATTCAGAACACTTCATCCCAAAGCAACAGAATACACATTCTTCTCTAGTGCACATGGAACATTCTCCAGAATAGATCACATTCTCGGTCCTAAATCAGGTCTCAACCGTTATCAAAAGATTGGAATCATTCCCTGCATATTTTCAGACCACAATGCTCTGAAGCTAGAACTCAATCACAAGAGGAAATTTGGAAAGAACCCAAATACATGGAGACTAAACAGCATCCTTCTAAAGAATGAATGGGTCAACCAGGAAATTAAAGAAGAATTGAAAAATTTCATGGAAACAAATGATAATGAAAACACAACGGTTCAGAATCTGTGGGACACGACAAAGGCAGTCCTGAGAGGAAAATATATAGTGGTACAAGCCTTTCTCAAGAAACAAGAAAGATCTCAGGTACACAACCTAACCCTACACCTAAAGGAGCTGGAGAAAGAACAAGAAAGAAACCCTAAACCCAGCAGGAGAAGAGAAATCATGAAGATCAGAGCAGAAATCAATGAAGTAGAAACCAAAAAAACAATAGAACAAATCAACGAAACTAGGAGCTGGTTCTTTGAAAGAATTAATAAGATTGATAAACCCCTGGCCAGACTTATCAAAAAGAAAAGAGAAAGGACCCAAATAAATAAAATCATGAATGAAAGAGGAGAGATCACAACTAACACCAAAGAAATACAGGCAATTATAAGAACATACTATGAGCAACTCTACGCCAACAAATTTGACAATCTGGAAGAAATGGATGCATTCCTAGAGACATATAAACTACCACAACTGAACCAGGAAGAAATAGAAAGCCTGAACAGACCCATAACCAGTAAGGAGATTGAAACAGTCATCAAAAATCTCCAAACAAACAAAAGCCCAGGGCCAGATGGCTTCCCGGGGGAATTCTACCAAACATTTAAAGAAGAACTAATTCCTATTCTCCTGAAACTGTTCCAAAAAATAGAAATGTAAGGAAAACTTCCAAACTCATTTGATGAGGCCAGCATCACCTTGATCCCAAAACCAGACAAGGATCCCATCAAAAAAGAGAACTACAGACCAATATCCTTGATGAACACAGATGCAAAAATTCTCGCCAAATTACTAGCCAATAGGATTCAACAGTACATTAAAAGGATTATTCACCACGACCAAGTGGGATTCATTCCAGGGCTTCAAGGTTGGTTCAACATCCGCAAATCAATCAATGTGATACAACACATTAATGAAAGAACAAGAACCATATGATACTCTCCATAGATGCTGAAAAAGCATTTGACAAAGTACAGCATCCCTTCCTGATCAAAACTCTTCAAAGTGTAGGGATCGAGGGCACATACCTCAATATTATCAAAGCCATCTATGAAAAACCCACCGCAAATATCATTCTCAATGGAGAAAAACTGAAAGCTTTTCCGCTAAGGTCAGGAACACGGCAGGGATGTCCGTTATCACCACTGCTATTCAACATAGTACTAGAAGTCCTAGCCTCAGCAATCAGACAACAAAAGGAAATTAAAGGCATCCAAATTGGCAAAGAAGAAGTCAAACTATCACTCTTCGCAGATGATATGATACTATATGTGGAAAACCCAAAAGACTCCACTCCAAAACTGCTAGAACTTGTACAGGAATTCAGTAAAGTGTCAGGATATAAAATCAATGCACAGAAATCAGTTGCATTTCTCTACACCAACAACAAGACAGAAGAAAGAGACATTAAGGAGTCAATCCCATTTGCAATTGCACCCAAAACTATAAGATACCTAGGAATAAACCTAACCAAAGAGACTAGGAATCTATACACAGAAAACTATAAAGTACTCATGAAAGAAATTGAGGAAGACACAAAGAAATGGAAAAATGTTCCATGCTCCTGGATTGGAAGAATAAATATTGTGAAAATGTCTATGCTACCTAAAGCAATCTACACACTTAATGCAATTCCTATCAAAGTACCATCCATTTTTTTCAAAGAAATGGAACAAATAATCCTAAAATTTATATGGAAACAGAAAAGACCTCGAATAGCCAAAGGAATATTGAAAAAGAAAGCCAAAGTTGGTGGCATCACAATTCCGGACTTCAAGCTCTATTACAAGGCTGTCATCATCAAGACAGCATGGTACTGGCACAAAAACAGACACATAGATCAATGGAACAGAATAGAGAGCCCAGAAATAGACCCTCAACTCTATGGTCAAGTCATCTTTGACAAAGCAGGAAAGAATGTCCAATGGAAAAAAGATAGCCTCTTCAATAAATGGTGTTGGGAAAATTGGACAGCCACATGCAGAAAAATGAAATTGGATCATTTCCTTACACCACACACGAAAATAGACTCAAAATGGATGAAGGACCTCAATGTGAGAAAGGAATCCATCAAAATCCTTGAGGAGAACACAGGCAGCAACCTCTTCGACCTCAGCCGCAGCAACATCTTCCTAGGAACATCGCCAAAGGCAAGGGAAGCAAGGGCAAAAATGAACTATTGGGATTTTATCAAGATCAAAAGCTTTTGCTCGGCAAAGGAAACAGTTAACAAAACCAAAAGACAACTGACAGAATGCGAGAAGATATTTGCAAACGACATATTAGATAAAGGGCTAGTGTCCAAAATCTATAAAGAACTTAGCAAACTCAACACCCAAAGAACAAATAATCCAATCAAGAAATGGGCAGTGGACATGAACAGACATTTCTGCAGAGAAGACATCCAGATGGCCAACAGACACATGAAAAAGTGCTCCATATCACTCGGCATCAGGGAAATACAAATCAAAACCACAATGAGATATCACCTCACACCAGTCGGAATGGCTAAAATTAGCAAGTCAGGAAATGACAGATGCTGGCGAGGATGCGGAGAAAGGGGAACCCTCCTACACCGTTGGTGGGAATGCAAGCTGGTGCAACCACTCTGGAAAACAGCATGGAGGTTCCTCAAAATGTTGAAAATAGAACTACCCTATGACCCAGCAATTGCACTGCTGGGTATTTACCCTAAAGATACAAATGTAGTGATCCGAAGGGGCACGTGCACCCGAATGTTTATAGCAGCAATGTCTACAATAGCCAAACTATGGAAAGAACCTAGATGTCCATCAACAGACGAATGGATAAAGAAGAGGTGGTATATATACACAATGGAATACTATGCAGCCATCAAAAGAAATGAAATCTTGCCATTTGCGACAACGTGGATGGAACTAGAGGGTATCATGCTTAGCGAAATAAGTCAATCGGAGAAAGACAACTATCATATGATCTCCCTGATATGAGGGAGAGGAGATGCAACATGGGGGGTTAAGGGGGTAGGAGAAGAGTAAATGAAACAAGATGGGATTGGGAGGGAGACAAACCATAAGTGACTCTTAATCTCACAAAACAAACTGCGGGTTGATGGGGGGAGGGGGGGTGGGGTTATGGACATTGGGGAGGGTATGTGCTATGGTGAGTGCTGTGAAGTGTGTAAACCTGGAGATTCACAGACCTGTACCCCTGGGGATAAAAATATATGTTTATAAAAAATAAAATTAAAATTAAAAAAAAAACTTTTGAACTGTGAGATTAAGAGTCACTTATGGTTCTGGGGGGAGGGGGTTGGGAGAGGGGGTTGGGGTTATGGACATTGGGGAGGTTTTGTGCTATGGTGAGTGCTGTGAAGTGTGTAAACCTGGCGATTCACAGACCTGTACCCCTGGGGATAAAAATATATTATATGTTTATAAAAAATAAAAAAATTAAAAAAAGATAATGATGGAAGAAAGATACAAATAAATAGAAAAAAACTTTTGAACTGTATACTGAGAAGTAGTTAAGATGGCAAATTTTCTGTTTTTGGTGGATTAAACATAGCATAGAGTGGTACTTTTTACTTCCTTTGGATTTTAGTAAGTTAATGACTAGTTAATAAGTGGAACATCATGAGGATAAAGACAATTAATTAGTAGAATAAGATATGATCTGTTAATGACTACTAAAATATTATTCCAGTACATATCCGGGTATCTTCCATAAGAGAGTTTATATATGAACAAAATTCTTACCTCAGGTCCTGAAATGGGTCGGCTCTTACGAGGGGGGTCTCCACTGAATGTTCAAAAAGAGCACCCTCGGGCCCTAAACAAAACCAGAGATGCAACATTTTACAACGGTAAAACAAATGACATCAAACTAATTAAACATTTAGTCTCTATATTAAAGCACAAGCAGATTTTTATCTTGTTGCTGAATTTGTACAGATGTGAGCAAGAAAATATAATTGATGTATAGCAACTAATGTATAGGATTTTTAAACTCTTTCGATAAACTGAGATTATTCTAAGAGTGTCAGTGGCACTCTTTTACAAGGAACTATAATTTCGTAACTAGTTTTTAAATGTATAACAATTACTTAACATAACCAGTTAGTGATGTTATAGTGTAATATGTATATGATGAATATGATGTAATCATTGTAATGCACATAAGTACAAAGAAGGCATAAACCCTATAAACAGAAACATATTACCATTAAATAAGAGCAGTAATTTCTCTATCATTGAAATGGTCAACCTTCAAATTATCTGATCGTACTTCTGTTATTATTATTTGGTCTCAAAGTAAATATTCCTCAGAACCTATCTGCATATATTAAAATAGATGCTTCATAAATGGTTTCATAAAATGACTTTTAATAAATCATTGATTTTCAATGTAACTGTATTTCCCTTGTGTATGCATTCATATTTAATATTCCCAGCTATGATTATATAAAAATGTATAACTGGTGCAACATCTGTTTCTTGTGGAAAATAGAACATATAGTTTGGGGTCATATAATCTAAATTGTAGACAGGGGAAAAAAGTTCCACAATAAAATATCATTATATAAATAATGCATTTAAATAACAGTATAATATGATCCTGTATAAATATTATTTGTATAAGGAAAGTATAGTAATAGAAAAGCCCAGTCTTACAATGTTAACTTTTTTTTTTTTAAAGAATGTATCACCATGATTAGACATAGTAAATGGTCTGGTCATTTCCGCTATAAAATACCAGTAGTATTTGGATAATACCATCCTTCTTTCTCTCCTGAATCTTAGAATACTTTATGATGAATGGATACTCATGTGAAGATCTGTAGGAAGACTATGGTACAAAATGAGTTGGAATGGCAGTGAAGACTTCACAGACAGAACCCAACACTGAAGGGGAAATTGCTGTAGGCTGCTCTATTCTTCCCTACCCATAGGTTCTTTTAATTACAGAAGTAGAGTTTGGCATGAATACCTCTGTTCAAACAGCACATAATATATACCCAAACATCTGCTAGATTTTTATGTCTATATTGATAACTAGTAAGATTGATTCCACACATACATTGAGTACTTATGGACTGAAATGAGTTTTTCAAGTGGTACAAAAACAAAAGATATTTCCATTGCCCCACCTCACAGTCAAACCTTCACATAACATCTCTACGGCTTTCAATCCATTCCATTCCTCCACCACTGCAAACTGCCTTTTGCCTCAATACTCCAAGGAAGATGCTCTTAAGATAATCATGACCTCCATGATGACACATTCAATGACAGTTTCTGTTCTCATCTTTTCTGGAAACCAGATTCTGGGAATGCAGTCTCTCTTGGCATCAAGAAAATGGCTCCTGTGACTTTCCTCTCACCACATTATCTGTTTCACACTTTCCTTGAGTGGCTACCTATCTTTTCCCTGGTTGGGCTCTAATACTGGCATCTCTCAGAGCTCAGTTGGGTGATGATGTTCCCATTTATATCTCTTGTCAAGACCTCTTCTCTGTGCAACAAAGAGCTCACATATCCAAGGGCTGACTCTAGCATATGCACTTGGCTGTTTCATAGATATCTTGCAACTATGCATCTAAAACATTAACCATCTATTCTCTTTGCCTTGCAAATGTGTTCTCCTCTTCCGTCTTCTCCATTACCCAAAGAATAATGTCATCATCCAGAAACAAATATAATCTTTCCATCTTTGGAAAGATTTTGGATCTTTGGATCTTTTGATCATCAAAGATGATCCCCTCTCTCAATTCCTGCCACCCATTTGATCTACTGGCAAGACTTTATATGTCAGTGACCACTTCAGTGACCACTGTTACCTAGCCCAGGTCACCAGGGGATAGAGACTGTCTTAACTACAGTTGACATCCTCCTAACTGGTCTTACTGTTTCCTCTCTTTCCTCTAAGCAATCTATTCTCCCTTATAATGATTATATTGATCTTAAAATGTACAGCAAATCAAAGAGTACCCCGTTTGAAACAACTCTTCCATTGCATTTTAAAAATTTTCTTATGTTACATTACTTACCATACAGTACACCATTAGTTTTTTTTTAAAATATTTTATTTATTCATTTGACAGACAGAGATCACAAGTAGGCAGAGAGGCAGGCATAGAGAGGAAGGGAAGCAGGCTCCCTGCTGAGCAGAGAGCCCAAAGTGGGGCTCGATCCCAGAACCCTGGGATCATGACCTGAGCCTAAGGCAGAGGCTTTAACCCACTGAGCCACCCAGGTGCCCCCATCATTAGTTTTTGATGTAGTGTTCCACGACTCATTGTTTGCCTATAACACGCAGTTCTCCATGCAATAGGTGCCCTCCTTAATACCCATCACCGGGCTCACTCATCCCTCCACCTCCTTCCTTCTAAAACCCTCAGTTTGTTTCCCATAGTCCATAGTCTTTCAGGTTTGTCTCCCCCTGGTTCCCCCCCCTCATTTTTCCCTTCCTTCTCCTAATGTCCTCCATGCTATTTTTTTATGTTCCACATATTATCATATGGTTTCACTCTTCCATTGCATTTAAAACAAATCCTAAATCCTTATAATGGAAAACAAGTATATGCAAAAACTTGTTTCTCTGTGTCTCCTCTTATACCAGGCTTTGTTGCAGACTTAAATATAATTAAAAAATAAAAAGCCATGAAATAATAGGCATAGATAAGTTCAAATAGAACAGCTATCAAAATGAATGTTAATGTTTTAAACTCCTTATTAAAAACCAAAGTCTATTAGACTGGGTTTAAAAAAAATTCCAACAACACCTCTCTTTCAAGAGAAATGCAAATCATTTAATATGAGGAGAATTTAGGTTGGGAGGATAATTTAAAGAGGCCATCAAGCTCCTCTTACAGAAGTTTACTGAAGTCATCCCACAAAGAAGTGATGCTTAGGATCATTGAAACCACCACAATTAAAAGGGGAATGTCAACACACTTAAGAGAAGCAAAGCTGGAGTATTACTGGACCACTGAATTAATCACACTAAAGCTACCCTGACTCCAGACTTTTCATGTAAGATAATATATATTTTTATCATTTAAGCCAGACTTAATTCGGTCTTTTGTTCCTTTCACCTGAAGATTTTTAACCAATTGGCCGGGTCATCAACTGTTCATAGAGCTTCATTACAAAGTGTTTGGAGATCTTGGGTATGTTCTTAAAGGATATGGTGATCTCTTAACATCTTCTAGATAATCTGTCAAGTATCTGTTTAAGGGACCTGGATTTATCATCTTTGTTTATGTTCACTTTTTCAGCTGTTGAAATCCTTTTCTCCAGATCCTCTTTTGTCAGTGGCTTTGTGAGTGACTCCACCATTTCTACTCCATCACTTCTGACCTCATGTAAGCCTGCTTAGCTGCACAGATGCAAATAAATAGACTGGCTTATCATTAAATCTTGTTTTCCTCAAGGGAAGCTAGATACCATTACAAGACCATGTTTTTATTAATAAAAGTTGGGGAAATGAACCCAGCCTAGCAAATCCCTGCCAAGGAATTAAAGTATATTTTTTGCCAGAAGTCAGTTTTGGTAATGGTATAAAAATTTTTTTCAAGACGAAATTTTGATGCTACTTCAATAATATGTTCTACAACCGCAGTTAACAAAAGGGGCATACTAACTTTGGTCACTTGGTGACCAATTCTATTTTTAGGGGGAAAAATGAGACTGCTTAAAGGCCTTAGTCAATTTCAAAATGAGTTTGTTATATTATTTAATCTCCCCCATAAATATGATTTAAAAACAACTCTTCAGTTTCCTAGCTGACTAAAGTCTAAATGGAACTTAAGACTTTTTAAAGAATGCTACCTTACTGAAATATATTTGACTCATAACACTGAGTAAATGTAAGGTGTAAAACATGTTAATTTGATACATTTATATATAATTGTCATTGTAGTGATAATTAGCATCCTTATCATACTACATAATGGTCCTTTATTTTAGTGAGTGCAGTAATTAAGTTTTAGTCTCTTAGCAATTTTGATGACTATTATACAATAATTATACAATAATGTTTTCTATATTCATTATACTGTGCCTTAGATCTCTAGGACTTATTTATTGCTCATTGCAAGTTTGTACCCTTAAATAACATCTGCCCTATCCCTCATTCACTGGTAACTATTGTTTTATTCTTTTTTTTTTTTTAATGAGTTTCGCTTTTTTAGAGTCCACATGTAAGTGATATCACACCAGTACTTGTTTTTCTCTGACTTACCTCACTTAGCATAATGTGTTCAAGGTCTATCCACTTTGTTACAAATGGCAGGATGTCCTTCTTTATCATGATAGGATAATATTCTACTGTATATCCTAATATATCTTTGTCCATTCATCTGTTGATGGCCACTTAAGTTGTCTTCCTATCTTGGCTATTGTGAATAATGCTGCAATAAACATGGGAGTTTATATATCTCTTCAATATCCTGTTTTCAATTCCTTTGGGTATATACTCAGAAGTGGAATTGCTGGGTAATATAGCAGATCTATTTTTAATTTTTTGAGGAAACTCAATACTATTTTCCACAGTGGTTGAGACAATTTACATTCCCAACAACAGTGTACTTCTTTTCTCCACATCCTCACCATCATGTTTTCTCTTACTTTCTTGATGAAAGCCACTCTAATGGATGTAAGGTGATATTGCATTATGGTTTTGATTTGTATTTCCTAGATGAGTAGTGGTGTTGAACATTTTTTCATGTACCTATTGAAAATTTGGATATCTTTCTTCTTAGAAAAATATCTATATAATTTCTTTGCCCATTTAAAAATCTGACTTTTTTTGGTTTGCTTTTGAGTTGT